TGCCGTAGGGGAGCAGCTCATAGTAGATAATTCCTTGCCAATCCCACCAAACACACAGCAAAACCTTCCTGGCCGTCAATCCTGGCTTGGCCACTGTTTCCGCCGGTTCACCGCGATTCGACCACGACCGTTTTCGCTTGACGTTGTCGTAAGTGATCCACTTTTCATCACCAGTGACCAACCGCTTCAGAAATGGGTCGATTTTGTTGCGATTCAGCAGCGATTCGCAGATGGAAATTCGGTCCATGAAGTTTTTTTGCGTTAACTCGTATGGCACCCATACATCGAGCTTCTTTTTGTATCCAGCCTTATTCAAATGGTTCCAAACGGTTTTTTGTGCAATCTTTAGCTCTTGGGGAATCGAAACAGTGCTTACATGATGGTCGGACTCGACAATATCCATGATTTTATCGATATTTTCGACAATTGGCCTTTTAGTGCGTGGTGCATCTTTGACATCGAAATTACCGGAACGGAATCGACGAAACCAAAATTGCGCGTGATTGGCTGTTACAGTATCAGGACCATAAACACTATTCACATTTTCAGCCGCCTGGCTTGCGTTTTCGCCTTTATCGAAGAAAAACTGTAAAATATAGCGTATTTTCTCTTTGCTAGTGTCCATCTTTGACGCGCGCTCAAACAAAACTGAGTCAACTAATTACAAAACTGTCAGAAAAGTTTTTTAGTACGAAATCTCATCTTTCTAACGCCATCTAGTGGAACCCGATCGGACTTATACAACGCGAGATACAGATAACTAAAGCCATCTATTGGAAAAATAATGGATTTCTTTTTACTACACCTAATATATGTAGCATGAACTGTAGATTATCAGTACTGGTAGTGAATTTTAGGACGCTTACAGTGTTTTCACATATTTCAACAGGTTAGGTTAGGTTATATTAAATTTAGGCCGGTATTCATAGTCAAGTCTTATATTTAACACTGTCTTCAGTTCACTTTCAGATACCCCGTAGTCAATGAAATAATTTATACAACAGGATGAATCTGAGGATGAACTGAAGATGAACTGAAGAAGACGGTCTTAAATATAATATCCGACTATACCAGGTATGTCGGTAATTACTTTCCGGTTTTTGTAACAGATGTCACTAGCCATAAGTATGCAATGTTATGATTTAATACATACGTCATTTTATTCTACTGACATTAACCTCAAAACTACACAAGTTACGTTCCGCCAAAATAACAGCGTTATAGATTAATAATTTTTTGAAAATGTCGAGTTTTGTGCCTGAAAACGTGCATTTGCGTCACGCATTACTTTTCTTGTTTAATCAAAAGAAAAAAGCCGCTGAAAGTCATCGTTTGCTGGTAGAGACTTACGGTGAGCATGCTCCAACCATAAGAACATGTGAAACGTGGTTTCGACAATTCAAATGTGGTCACTTCAACATTTAAGACAAAAAACGTCCTGGTAGGCCGAAAACGTTTGAAGATGCGGAATTGCAGGAGTTATTGGATGAAGACCCAACACAAACTCAAAAACAATTTCACAAACTCAAAAACAGAAAAGTTGAATGTGAGCAGAGTAGCAATTTGTGAACAATTACAAGCGATGGGAAAGATCCAAAAGATGGGAAGATGGGTGCCACATGAATTGAATGACAGGCAATTGGAAAATCGAAGAATCGTCAGTGAAATGCTGCTTCAAAGGTATGAAAGGAAGTCATTTCTGCGTCGAATAGTAACGGGTGATGAAAAATTGATTTATTTCGAAAATAAAGCGAAAAATCATGGTTATCACCTGGCGAAGGCGGCCCATCGACTGCAAGGCCAGATCGCTTTGGTCGCAAGACCATGCTTTGTGTCTGGTGGGACCAGGTTGGTGTCGTATATTATGAACTGTTGAAACCTGGAGAAACAGTTAATACTGATCGCTACCAACAACAAATGATCAATTTGAACTGTGCATTGATCGAAAAACGTCCACAATACGCTCAAAGACATGATAAGGTGATTTTGCAGCATGACAACGCGCCATCTCATACAGCAAAACCAGTCAAAGAAGTATTGAAATCACTTGGATGAGAAGTTTTATCGCACCCGCCGTACTCTCCAGACCTGGTTCCATCCGACTACCACCTTTTCGCATCGATGGGGCACGCGCTTGCACAGCAGTACTTCGCCGATTTCGAAGAAGTTAAAAAATGGCTCGATGAATGGTTTAGCTCAAAGGAGAAACAGTTCTTTTGGAATGGCATCCATAAATTGCCTGAGTGATGGGCAAAATGTATAGAATCAAATGGCCAATACTTTGAATAAATATATTTTAACTATCCATTGTAACGTGTTTTCTTTAGCGAAAAAACCGGAAAGGAATTACCGACACACCTGGTAAATACCGGCCATAATGTTTTCTGTGAGAGATATATAATAACTAAATTTAATAATAAAAAATGAGATATGAAAATTTAACAGATATCAACAAAAGAATCTGAAAGAATCTAAAGAAGAATCTAAATGTTTACTTACCAGCAAGATGCGTATCCCCCTTTACCTATCTCTTGTGCAACCACGTTTTCTGGCATTAGTAATGCTAATGCATGATGCGTAGAGTGTGATTCATTAAACGCTGCAAACGCTTTCAGATATTCAAAGAAAAGCCATGATTGGTCTATACGGCGCGTTAAAAAAGTTTGTAGTGTCTAATGGATCGCATTCATAACACGTGAGGTATGGCACGGAGAAAACAAAAGAAAACCTTTTAAATATTTCTTTACACTTTATTCAAAGAAAATGCTAAGAAAAGAAATCATTGCTGAAGCGGTATAGAAAGAAGCAACTCGCGTGATATTTCAGTTACATCGCAAATATACTTTAATACTTATATATCAATAAAAATATATTCTATATGTATCAGTGATACCCAGTAAGCAAAATGCTAACAGAATGCGCGCAGATTGACGCCAATTTCGATCAGATCTCCAGATCAAAACCATAGCCATCTGTGTCCTCATTAGGCTCGTGTTTTGTCGACAGGACCTGTATGACGGGCCGTGCGAGCAGATTGTCGGCAGAAACCGCGCAGGTCCTGCTGCCAAACTACACGTAGAGTCTGCGCGTAGAGTTTGCTCAGTTTCTGCCGCCAATCTGCCGTCAAATTACTGCAAGTTTTGCGCGGTTTTTGCTACAAATCTGCCGTCAAATATCTGACAACAGGATTTGGCGCATATTTGACCGCAAATTGGCGGCATAATTTGATATAACAGATTCTGCGTTAAATTTGTTGCCTATTTGCCATCAAACTATATATATAGCAGGCTTTGTTCGAAATCTGCTCGCGCAGGTTTGGCTATCTGGGATAACATTCATTATATTACTAAATAATTACAGTTGTTATATTTATGTTACGTATCTTGAATAACGGATATGTTATATTACTTTTTAAAGAATTGTTATGAGTTATATGCGTAACAAAGAAATGTAACTTTGTTCTTCTAATGTGCTCTCAAGATTATGTAACATTTACTTCAGACAGCATCAATATCTAAAACCGGGACATAAGACGTCTGAAAAACGTCTTTAAGTCGTCTTTAAGATATCTGGACATAAGATGTTTTTAAAAATGTCTAAGACGTTAACGTCTTAAAAAGACGTCTTATGTCTCAGTTTTGAATGTTCTGTCTGAGGTATGCTGTCTGAGACATCTTGTGTATATAACTGTGAAATATAACAATGTGCTTTTGATGTGCTTTCCAAGTTATGTAACAGTTACGTATTGGTTTGCTGGGAATGACGTTCTATCTTTTTTTAAATGTGTTTTAGACACACACATGATATTTTGGAGTATTTTGAGTTATTTGGGCGACTTCACGAGAAATTTTTCACTTTTCACTTTTCACTCTAGGGGAAAAATTACATGATCGATACCCTGGTACACCTCACCGGTTTTCTCATTTTGAAATATGTTATAAAGGATGAAATTCTGAGTGACTTCCTGATACAACTATATGGAGATCGCTTATAGTTTTTGAGATATTTGATTTTAAAGTTTTGGAATTTTGATTATCCTGAAACTAAATTCCAGATATCATAAGCTGACGTTATTTACAGTACAATCCAAACAGTTAATCCTAACATAGTATATACATAGAAATATAAGGAACAGTACATAAAGGGTGTCCCAAAATTCACGCAAGAAGTAATTTTGATAGAAAGCACAGGTTTATAATTAAAAATTGTAAATTTTTTATTGACTCATAAAGTATACAGTATAGGGTTATGTATGGAATAGCATATCGAGTAAATGGCCTCCACGGCTTTGCTGGCACATATGCACTTTTGTTGAAATTTTCCATGACCGTTTTGCATAAATGTGGCTGAATTGCGTTGATACAACGCTCAATTTCCTCTTTCAAGGCGTGAGTGATCGTGGGCTTGTTGGCATAAACCTTAGACTTCAAAAAACCCCAAAGAAAAAAGTCCAACGGCGTTAAATCGCATGATCTGGGCGGCCAAATCTGATCACCAAAGCGGGAAATTATACGACTAGGAAATGACTCATGCAGTAATTGAATTGTTTCTCGGGCTGTATGGCATGTGGCACCGTCTTGTTGAAACCACTCATACAGCACACGATATTATTCGTATATACTGTTTTCATACTAAATATACTATAGATATATCTAATATACTGAGAATATCCCTATAATATTTTTCGTAGTATATTATTTTTCGTATATTTTTGGAATATACATAATTCATCAATAATATTCAGTTTATTTATCGAATATTCTGGAAATATTCTAATATTATCAACAATATTTTAATCATTAATCGGACATATCTCTTCTACAATAAGCAATTAGTCATAAGCCGTAAGCAAATTGACCAACCACAGTCGATTATTTAAAAAATAATCAAATGTGATTGGTCAATTTGCTTACGGCGTTTGACTAATTGCTTTATATTGTAGAAGGTCTCTAACAACACAGGTATCCAAGAAACGTTCAGAATACGTCCTGAAGATGACCTCGGGATGTTTCTTCATCCTCAGGAAGTCCCTGGAATGTTCTTAGGAGATCTTGTGCTGTCTGGAGCCACCCAATCAGAATCGGGCCTCCACCCGATTCTGATTGGATGGTTTTTAATGCTTCTTTACTCCACTCTCCGCTTTCCGTGTCCATCTGAACGCACGTAGTCACGTCGTATACGAAGATCTTAATATAAGGTAATAATTATATAATTATTTTATTTATAAAATAACATTAACTATTATGCATTAATAAATTTGTACCTCAATAGATATTTTGTTAGATAGGCCAATTCGTTGTATAAAATTTTATATTTTTTTCAACCTGTCTTTCAGGGTTATGTGGCACAAGAATAATTAACTTCAGGTTGTTACACTATTTTTCCTATTTTCTTGATAGTTTAAGTTATTCAGACTGCGTCTCAATTTTCCTCCTTAATCCATATAATAATGCTGCGTTTATCCCTTATTCTTTTTTTCCTTAATTCTTCGTCGTACTTAACTCTTTCTTCATTATATTTATTTTCATTATTTTCATTATACTGCATCACTATATCATATAGTCAATATTCTCTCTTTCATATCTACAGTCACACTGAGTGCTATCTATATATACCCCTTTCTGTGAAGAGACTCATTAAAATTATAATGGTTAGCTCTTAACCTGTTGATGAAAGTAACAAAATATCTTTCTTCGTTGAAATTCTTAAATCATGGTTACTTCTCTTCTCTGTTGTAAAATCTCCCAAAATATTTAATATCTTTGAATCCTGAGTCTCTAATAAGACTCTTTTGTGTGTTAGACCATATTTCTTGTTTAAAAAAAACTCTTAAATCTTTAAAACGCACTATTCCTAACAGCACAGATATCCAGGGAACGTGCATACATTCTGAGGATATTGCTATATTCTCTGCTATATTATAATGCTTATTATAATTATGATAATTATATTGCTATATCCTCAGAATGTTCTTGGGACATTCCCAGAAGTTCTTGTGCTGTCAGGGATAACTATTCATTATCATAATAACAAGAAAATATTCGGAACATTTTACATATTCTTTTGACTCGATTGGAAGAGAAACTGTTGTTTAATAGACATATCTTTTTATTTTAACGTATGCTGTAATAATTTTTGTCGTGCAATTTTTCACTTTTGACATAATTAAATAAAGATAGTCTCAGAGAGGATCCATAGAGTCATAATATATATAAATTAATAAATGTCATTAGACGAAATATTGAACTAATATTAACTCTGTACTTACATTTCAGATTAAACAATTGGTTCGAGTTGTATGCGAGGATTTAAAAACATCATGTATAAGATTAATAAGACAAATCTTCAGCAATGAATTAGCTATAGAATACAGCTAGTATGGGGCGAAAAAGAAAAATATCTTCAGCAACTTACAATTGTGTAAAATAATTATATGTAATTAAAATATACAATCAGAATATATATACAGAATTGTAAATCTTAGTTTTTAATTAATAGCATAATTGATAATTATTTAGAAGAGGCAGGCCGCCTCTGATTTTGCTAAAACTCTCATTTGATTCATTTTCACGTGTAGAAGCCGAATCTGAATTAAAAATCATTGCTCGGCTGTACAAAGCGAGAAAAATATTGTTTAAGATAGAATATGATAGGTTAAGAAACTTGTCATTGCAAGGTAAAGTTTCTTCGTTGTACTTACTGTATTAGTATAGCGCAGTATACAACTAAACTTTTATAATTATTGTACATAAGATAGGACTTATTTTGAATTGTACAAAATAACTCCTATCTTGTGTACAATAATTATAAAAGAATATATCTTTAAATCTTCGCCTTATATGTACTAAAATGGCAGATTCTGAAAAGGTTAGCAAAGGCCCCTACACAAGGAAGAGTGTATCATTAACCAGAAGCAGAAGAATGTAAATATATGCTACCTCATTATGTAGGACTGATCTTGTTCCTCTTGTTACGCAATAAAATAACATATGTTATGATTTTCCGCTTTTGATTCATGATATATTCTCCTTTGCATAGGTACCTTTGCTAATCTTTTCAGAATCTGTCATTTTAATATAAGGTAAACTCATCACTTTAGTAAGGCCAGAGAGAAGCCTAAGAGCGGGCATGGCTTCATTTACAGCGTCATGGAAATGTTGGCTGATTCGCAGCGCCAACTGGGTCCATTTTTCATGGACATGAACTACTAAGCCAATGTCCACGATTTGTTGGTACTATTCCGTGCTATGTCCATAATTATTTGGTTCAGTTCTGCGCTATGTTCACGAGCGAGCTAGATTAGTTAGATAAAAACGAAGAATCTTTGTCTCACCACCAGCGAATAGACAATCGCGACGAAGCGAGCCAGCAGCGATGTTATCGTAAGGCAGACGTCGCCGTCTCCCCTTTAACTCCCTTGTTTTCCTTTACACATTATTTTATATTCATTGTAACGAGGCGCAGATGCACCTCGTTACTACCGGCCCGACCGACCACCTGTCGGGCCGAAGAACGGCATTTTGCGCCACCCTAAAGTATCGAAACGATCGCGCCGCCGCTATCGCGCGCCGCGGCGATCACGCGCTGCCGCTAGCGAGCGCGGCCGCGATCATGCGCCGTCACCGTGCCTCGTGCCGATAGGCGCGCCGCTCGATCGCCGCCATATCAATCGTAGCGCGATCAACTATAAAACGGCGGCGATCGAGCTTCTAGACACCAGACCGATCCGTACCGCCGATTCGATCTAGACGCTTCATGCCGAAAGAGAGAATATCCGGACCGTTTCGCTCTGCTTTCCGTATTCCGACTACCCGACCGGCGACTAAGCAAACGGGATTGTGCGTCCGCAGTCTCGATCGAGCGGGAAGTGTGTGCTAGTGATGGCACAACTGAACATTGATCGCTAACGTAGAAGTCTCGATCGAGCGTACTCGATACTCGGCCGTCTCCCGTCTTCCTGGGCTCGTGCGTGCGCGTGCTCAGTCGAGCGTACTCGACAGTCTCTCGCCTTTATCCGCCGCCTTGAGTCAGGGGTTCGTCCGTCGGCGAACTCCGCTGAGCGTACTCAGCCTTTAGGCGATCCGTCTAGCGACCAAGAACCCGGGACGGTGTGTCCGCCGTCTCCGCTGAGTGTCCGCAGCACTTGGTCGCTTTCCTCCGCGAACGTAGGGAAAAGGGAAGGTGCGTACGCTTTCTCTGTCGAGAGTCCTCGGCCCCGACGGACGAAATCATTTCGCGTATCCCGCGACTTGCGTGCGTGCGTTCGACCGAGAATCGAAATCTCCGGTCCGGCGACCATTTATACGCGAGCGATTTCGAGACGAGTATTGGGCGATAATTGTTCGAGACGCCCAGCGTCGCGAAGCGTGACCGATCACCGCGTCGTTACCGTCGTTATCGTCTACACGCGTCGCGCAATAGGCCCCGCCTTCCGCACGGCCTATCCGTCCGTACGAGCGCTTGTACCGCTCACCGCACCGCACCGCACCGTACCGTACCGATGCGCCTTATAGACGCAACCCGCGACATCGCCTTCGGGGCCGAACTCTTGTATCCCAGTAAGCATACAATAAAACTAAGTTATTTCGATTGCCATTATCAAGTGTCTCGCTGCTTTACTCCTCCTCGAATCTGGACTCCGACGAGCATTATCCGCGCGAAACGCGTAGCAGCGACCGAACCGCGGAGTTCGGCCGTTACATTTGGCACCCGAACAAAGGACCTTAGGAGGAGAAAAGCAGTAAGAGGGATTACAGGCCCGATCGCGATGGCGTGGGTGTATAAATCGAAACAGGAGCTGACCGAACAGCTGTCCCGTCACGACTTGCACACGGACGGGACATTCGAAGAATTACGAAGGCGGTTCGGTCAGTTCGTGCGAAGGCATCCGGAGTTGTTCAAGGAGGACAACGGGACGGCGACTCTCGCAGCAAAGACCGATGAAGGGACGGTGGAAGACCGCGACGAGACACCCGAACTGTCCATACCTCCCGTGGGGCCCGAACCCCCGATAGCCAAGGCCATGAACCAAATTAGGAAATGGGGTTGCTTCTTCGACGGACGGAGTCCTCACGAATTTCTAGAACGGGTCGAAGAACTCAGCGAAGTCTATGGCTACACGGGGGAATACGTTCTTCGAGGATTGCCGGAAATGCTGCGGGGCGAGGCCCTCGCGTGGTACCGTCTCAGTCGGCACACATGGGCGACGTGGGAGAATTTCCGAAGGGACTTCCATGCGGAATACCTACCGCGCAAAATGCTAACGCAACTCCGCCGCGAAGCACGGAGCCGCGTACGAGACGGAGAACTCTTCCGAGCGTTCTCCAATGAAGTATTAACGCTCATACGGCGCGCGAGTGGATGGAGTCCCGAGGAGCAGCTCGAGCTGCTATATGAAAATATGCACCCGGAATATAAGAGGGGCATTCGCATCGACGATGTCACGAGCATCGGGGACCTCCGTGCGCAAGCCGCAGAGCATGAAGACATCGAGCGGCAGATACGCGACCGCCGACGAGATCCTGCAGCGGACCTCCTCGACCGTTGCGCGTCGCGCCGACCACCGTCAGCACGTACAGCAAGGACGAGTGCTGCTGGCGGTGCAAACAGAGGGGGCACACTCGGGTAGACTGTAAGCGCCCCCCGAAGAAATTCTGCTCGCAATGCGGAAAGGACGGAGTATTGACCCGGGAGTGCCACCCGCTGCCGGGAAACGACCGATGGGCCGAGACCTGCCATCCAGAGTCTCGGCCCTGAGGAAACAGCGCATAAAATTCACACCGCGGCCCCACATAACCGTGCGACTGAACGGACGTGACGTCAACGCGCTCCTCGACTCCGGATCGGAGGCATCATTTATACGCCCCGACATTGCCCAGCAAATAGGGGTCCCGATCCGGAAGTCGAGACGACCCGAATCGATACGACTGGCTGACGGGATACTAATACAGACGGCCGGAACCATAACGACAGACATACAAATGGAGGACAGAGACGTGAGACACGGCCTACGAGTTCTGCCAAAGCTCGGCAGCCCAATGCTGATTGGAGTGGACTTATGGGCCAAGCTACAGATGACCCTGCCACCACCACCGAATAACGCGACACAGACCGAACCATCGACCTGTACGATCGAGGACGGACTGACGCCACGAACCCCGGACGAGACCGCGCGACTAAAACAGTTCCTGGAACGGGAATTCCGCCTCTTCAACAAGGTTCAGGGACCGACGGACCGGGTACACTACGACATACGACTGACCGACCCACGCCCCATTAAGCAGCGGTATCGGCCCCGGAACCCCGCTATGCAGCGAGTAATAGATGAAGAGGTCGAGAAGATGCTGCAGGAACGCGTGATCGAACCCTCTCACAGTGCGTGGAGCTCGCCGGTAGTGGTGGTGCGGAAAAAGGACGGGTCGCGAAGTCATTTCGATTGCCATTATCAAGTGTCTCGCTGCTTTACTCCTCCTCGAATCCGGACTCCGACGAGCATTATCCGCGCGAAACGCGTAGCAGCGACCGAACCGCGGAGTTCGGCCGTTACATCATAATTCTGGAAGAAAATAATTTCGAGAGTTCGGACGATTTCTAGCAATGACGCGACAAAGATAACGCGCGGCCACATTAATTTGTCATGACTTTTATATTACTTATAATTACATAAACGCCCATATATGCAAATTATAGATAATTATTGCGCGTATGTTTTAATATTGTACAATATGGTATATAATAACAACAACTTTATTTCTTGCAGTAATTATTTTAAGATCTTCGTTGAGATCGTGAATTAATTTCTTACTTCATCAATCAGTTTTCTGCAAAAATTAAGATTTTTTAAATAAAATATAAAATGTTTCTCTCCTCTTATCTCCGAAGAGTTAATTAAAAAATATGTACTCCACAGAGTCAACTAACAAATGTGAAGTCAGAAGAGACAATTTAAAAGTGTACTGCGAAAAGTCAATTTAATAGCATATTCCGAAGAGTCAATTTGAAAGCGTACTCTAAAAAATCAAATTAATATTGTAATCCGAAAAGTCAATTTATAACAGAATATTTACATCGATGATTCAGCTAAAGAAAAAAACATTTATTTATTATTATATTCAGAGAATAATATTTAATTTATTATTTATACTTATCTTACTTATGCTTACCCTACATATGCTTCTTCGAATGAGAAATTTAATTTGTTGACTGATTCAGATTCAGATTTGTTAAAATATCTCTTATGCGCAACTCTTGAACAGGTAGGTAGTAAAATAATTTTCTGTCTTTACGAATTTTATAAACTTTTCACGAACGTAAAAATTGA